GTGGTGCCCCTTCTTATAAAATGATATCCTTATTTATTGAGAAAGGAGTGCAATATGACGATGTTGCATTTTTGCCCCTGTTTTAATGAGGTTATACAAGATATTATAGGTATTTTAACATGTATGAGTCTATCGTTCGGCTATTATATGAATCACAGGTCCGAGTGACTTAGACCAATTGTCTTCGGGTTGGCAGAATTGACTCGGTTAGCTGAGTTAGTTAGGTTGTTGACTCCTAATAATAGATGGGAGAGCTTATGAGCACCTCCGATATGATTGGGGATGTAGAGGGACTAGATCTTCTCTAGAGTCGGCTCCTTCATCCTTGCTCTAGCTCAAACAAATGCATCCAATTTGATAAATGGGGTTGCTGGCCTTCCGTTGGTGGGCTCTCTTTTATTGTAATTTCTTCCTTTTGAATGGTTAGATCTCTTCAAGATGAGCTTTGACACATTTTTGATTTACATATGCAAAGATATGGTGGCAATTATGTATTTGTGTATGCGCCGCGTACTCATATCAGTTAGTCGAGCATTTGCTTGTCAGTTGTAAGTCCCCTCTGATCTGGGGTTCGATTCCTCCCGGTAGAGGGTGTGGTACTCGAATTGTTAAGCGTATCGGGGATGGCCGAGGCTCATATAATAGTCTCAGCCATTCTTTTAATATATATATATAGTGTGAACTTACCAATACATGCAAAGATGTATTCAAATTTTAAAAGATCAGAGTATTTCAATATTATATGAAACATTTCGGTGATATAAATTGAAAAGATAAAGTTTAATGGTTTCATATGTAAATACATAAGAATTGGGTGAAATGTATGTAAATGCACCATTATTATTTAGACCAAACTTTAAAGTTGGTGAAATGAATAATGTTAGCAAATTGCCAAAACAATTCAGGACTATTTATATGAAGCTGTTTTAATCTCAAAATTTATAGAAATGTCAAAATAGTCCCCATATCTTTTAAATTTGGTCGAAATAGCTCATATGTAAGACTATTATAGCTCATTTTTAAAATAATCAATTATTATTTTGACATTTTTATAAATTTTAGGATTAAATGATCACGTATAAACAGTCAAAAATTATTATGGCACTTTGCTGGAAAACGGTATCGGAGTAGAGCTGTCAAAACTATTAGTTGTTCGTGAACAACTCGTGTTCTATTTGTTCGCTAAGCTAATGAATTGAATGCGAACACTTTTTTGTGCGCGATATATGAACGAGCTGAACACGAACAAGGATTTGTTCGTTCATGTTCCGCTCGTTTTGGCTCGAAATACTACTCGCCAATTATATATATAGTATTTTTTAAAAAAATAATGAACTACAAAGTTACAAAAATTTATTATCAATTAAAATTATTAATTAAAAAAAATAAAAGAAAAATATAATAAATTATATTTAAATAATGTTTTAATATAAACAATAATATTTAAATCTTGCCCCAACCCTTAACATCTTAAGGCTGTATGATTAGAGTTGTTAAAACGACTCTTTGTTCGCATATAGCTCGTGTTCGGCTCGTTAACCAAACAAGTCGATCACGAACACACTTTTTGTGTTCGAAATATAAACGAGTCGAACACGAACAATGATATTTTTTAACAAGCTGAATACGTGCTGAGCCCGAGCTCGCTCGTGTTTGGCTGGTATATACTCCCATGTGGGCGTGAGAACTTTTGCAAAGATAAATGGATGTTTAGGCGTGAAATTGAAAGCGAAATACAAGGAAACTAACAAATCATACCACAAGGGTCATTTTCAAATTTTAGGCAATAAAGGGTTCGGTTAAGATATTTCTACCTAACAAAAAAAAAACCGGTTTAGTGTTTGGCAGCAAACCCGGACCGAACTCTTCTACTATGATTGGACCACCATCATACTATAGGCAATAAAAGGGGATAGGGCCATGTGATTTTTAGGTCAAATGGGTCCTTTTTTGCCATAGACTTTATCTCCCCTACTCTTGAAATCTAAACCAACCATACCTTCTCCAATATTTTCAAAAGTTTAATGTTGATATGACAATCAAAATTAATTTTGAAAGTCTATGTTTAGAAAAGTTTGTTATGATATATTGAGTTTATATATATATATATATATTGTTCAAAATATATAGATAATTACCCTTGGACAAAAACATTTCAAGAATTCTACAACTTTTAAGAGCTTTTGTATGCTACAACATAAAAGGAAATATCATGTTAGATAGAGAGATAATGGTGTATCCTCACCAAACATTAGCTCGCATTATCTTGTGTTATGCACCAATGGAATCATAATGTCTAAGTGAAGGTTGAAGGATTTATGTAAAATTTGTTTATAGATGGATGATTATGGAAGAGTTTTAAGAGTGGAACTTTTATATTACAAATAATTATGTAGGAGTTTTCTTAAATTAAAGATTTTTCTTTTTTCAAGTTTGAGTGGGAGCATGAGAACCTCGTACTCCAATCACTTCCTTGAAATAGATTGTGATGAACATTACTCGAATGTGTAGTATATTCATTAGAAACAAAATGAAGTATCCCTCTTGAGCTCGAGTGCTCACTTGCTCAAAAATAAAAAAGATTGGACGGGTAGTTTGAACAAGACTTAGAATGGTTGGCCTTATCAGAACTAAACTAAAATATAGTTGGTTTAGTGAAGCTGTCCTTTGAATGCTTATGGAAGTCACAGGGAAGTGAAGCCAAGGTAGCTATATGGAAGATGAGCATAGTTATTGTATTGAAGATTGAAAAGAAAGAGTTCTAAATAGTCTCTATTATGGATAGGGTAATGGAGGATAGAGAAATATATCTAGTGGCCTCCCATTGAAAGTAGGAGAAGGATATATTGTGGGGGTGGAATTGTGGGCGAGTGAAGTAATGATCATGAGCTTCTTGATGTTTGCTTTATGTAGGAATTATTGTGTGTGGAAACAGTTGCCATTGCTTGAGTCTCAAGTTACTATAAGTTACTTAGATAAGAGATTTTTTTTAACTTCTCTATCAATGCAATATGAAATATACATAGTTATGAAAGATAAGAGATTATACAATCATATTAGTCTTATTCTTTAAACTAATTTTTCTCTTTTTTTTTGTGATAGTGTGAAGCTAAACTTGCGCTTTTTGTTTTTTCTTCTTCCTTTATTTAAACTATTTCTCGAAGTTCTATTGTTATTTTATCAAATGGTAGTTGAGCTTTGGTTTTAAAATTTGTAGCTTAAAGTAATTGGGACATTAAGATCAAAATTGATGAGTTCAATGATCAAAACTTTAGATTCAAAAAAATGCATATAAATAAATATTTATATCAAAGAATACTTCATTGGCCACCAAAGGGAGTAATGCCCATTGAAGGACTAACATCACATTTTGATGCTAGGGAAGAGTGTGCATTGTTGGTTAAAAAGTTATAGGGGTCATTCACATCCATTAGTACGAACATTTTAAAGGCATATTTAAATATACAGATTCAAATGATTATATGAGCTACAAAGGGTAGAAAACTCTCTACATTATAAAAAAACAAATTTTCCAACTTAAGGTGTTCTATTGAGTCCATCTCATATGAAAATTATGTTTTTGAAAAACAAAGCTTAGTTATTTTTTTAAGATTAGGAAAAAAATAAAGACTTCATAGTCAAATTTAGTAGACAAGATTATAACAACAACTAATAAGATCATTGTATCATATCATTTTTTATAAACAACAATATCACGAAGTTAAGGATATATTTTATTAAAGCTAATATTTATTCAACTTTTACCAAGTAGCAAACTATAGAAGAGAATGAAATTAGAGATAAATTTTAGTGCTTAAAATTCAATAATGGTGGATGTAAGATATAAGAAGAAGCTTAAATATAAGGAGAAGTATAATGGGCACGCCCATGCCTTGGCTATCACCACTATCAATTGGGTTTAAAAGTCATAATATCAGCCAAAGTAGTAAAATATGTAGTGATCATTAGAGATAATAAAGAGCTAGTTTCATTTAAATGTGTCTTAAAAAACAAATCACAAAATGACATTGCACTCATTTCTAATTGCTAAAGTACCTTTTGGTTGGCAATAAAATTCCTATTTCACTCTTGAATAAAACATATACAACACAATTACCATTATTTGTTAATTTTACTTAAAGAATGTGCTTTACACCTCATTAAAATCAAGGGAACAAAGAATTATATTCATATACTCACAAAAACTAGCATTTACACTCTTCTCTCTTAAACTCTACTTGAGTTTGAACTTTGATATGGGTGCCATAAGAATATACATAATACTTGCATTCATCATGATTCCCATGGCAACATGTAGCTCAAGCATATTGCCCAAATGCTCACAATAAATCCTCAAAATAAATAAGTAAATAAATAAATAAGAGAAATACACACTCTTCATTCACTTTAATTTGAAATAAATACTCATCTTATTCAAAAATTGATATCACATTCAACAATAAAGACCAAAAAACATAAATGTCAATATAAAATAAACAATAATTAAATACTTCCCATATAAAAAATTCCTTCAAATTTAATGTGGGATGTACACGAGCTGAGCCGAGCTCGAGCTCGACTCGTAGTGATAGCAGCCGGCTAGGGAGCTTGAATTAAAACTTCAATTTTTAAGGGAGCTCACTGGAAAAAGATATTGGTGGCTAGAGGAGGAGGAGAAGAAAGCAATGGTAGTTCATCAAAACATACATTGAAATGACTAGTAGTCAGTTAATCGAGTCAGCTCGCTAGAAAACGAGTCAAGTCGGGGCGAACTCGAACTAGAGCTTATTTAATAAACTAACTCAAGTTTGGGTTCGAGCTCAAGCCCGTGGCTCGATAAGTTTGCCTCGTGAGCTCATTAACGAGAAATTTTTAAATATAAGTATATTTTTAAATATAAGTATCTTAAAACTTAAAAATAAAAATAAAAATAGAAAAAAAGGGAAAATGTTTAAGCCACCATCCTCCACCGCTCACTTTATACCTCCCTCCATAGCGGCTGCTAGCGTCATTCCCCCCACACCAAAGAGAAAAGTGAAGCTAAAGAACAAGTTATGCCTTCCACCACACTTTAAAACCTTTTACCAACCAACTCCCATCTTCTAGAGCTCGAAAGAGAGAGAAAGCACCCACACACTCGCCCCCATCTCCTCCATCTTCAGTCAAACTCCTATAAATCAAGCCCCATCTTCTCCTTCCTCCTCAAAAATCCCTTTTTTAGAGCATAACAGAGCCATGGGCCGCTCTCCCTGTTGCGAGAAAGCTCACACCAACAAAGGCGCCTGGACCAAGGAAGAAGACGAGCGCCTCATCTCTCACATCCGCTCTCACGGCGAAGGAGCCTGGCGCTCCCTCCCCCAAGCCGCCGGCCTCCTCCGCTGCGGCAAAAGCTGCCGCCTTCGCTGGATCAATTATCTCCGCCCCGACCTCAAGCGCGGCAACTTCACCCACGATGAAGATGACCTCATCATCAACCTCCACAGTCTCCTCGGCAACAAGTACCCTTTTTTTCCTCCATCCACTCCAAAAAAAATAAAAACTTTTTCTTTTAATGAAGAGATTTGAAGGTAATTGACCATTCATGGCGATTTGAATGATGAACAGATGGTCTTTGATAGCGGGAAGGCTGCCGGGGAGAACGGATAATGAGATTAAGAACTACTGGAACACGCACATAAGGAGGAAGCTCCTGAACAGGGGCATAGATCCGGCGACACATCGGCCGATATCCGCCGTTGATTTCTCCGGCGGCGGCGGCGGTGCGGCGGCGGAGAAGAGAAGCAGTCGCGGTAAAGGAGACAGAGTAAAGGTTGCTCGGCTCCCGCGGTGTCCTGATTTGAATCTTGAGCTCTGTATCAGTGCTCCATTGGAGGAGATGCAGCACGATTTACTGGTGGAGGAAAGTAATTGTGGAGGTGAGTTTCTTAGGCTCGGCAGCAGCTTTCTGATTGATTACAGAAGGTTGGAGATGAAGTGATGGCCATTGTTGCACTTTTTTTTTTTGTTTTTTTTTTTTTTTTTTGGGCTGAAAATGTTGGGAAAGATGAAGATGGAAGATCAGAACCCATCTCTTATCTTAAATCTTGTTTAATGTAATTATAAGTGGTATTATAATTAATTTTACAGCATTATAAATTATAAAATTATACTTTTTTTCTATTATTTAGAAGTAAAAATAAGAGCTTTAACTTGTTGGTTTCTTAAATCAGTATGAGCAGATTAATTAGGACTCTGGAGATTACTGCGACGAGCTTGCTGTTGAGGTGCGAATTTTCTGTCCGGATAACTGACGTACCTTTACGTGCAGTGCAAGTTATTCCTGAATTATTTTCAAGTTATTTCTGAGTTATTTTCAAAAATCTTGAAATAACCCAGAAATAACCCAAAAATAAAAGTTATTTTTTGGTTTTTTCGGGATTACTAAAAATAACCTAGAAATAACCTGAAAATAACTCAGGAAGTCCTGCGCCGCACGTAGAGCTACGTCAGGAGTCCGCATAGAAAAATTTTTGGTTGTTGAGGTTATAAATGTAAGAAAGTTTAGTTTTATTTTCTTTGTTGAGCTTTTATTTTTATTTTTGGGGTTTTTTATTTTATTCTTCTTTACATCAGTACATTAAAATTTTAATATTTATATATATGACACTCAAATTTTTAATGTGATTATCCCACACCAAGTGTTATAAGTAAAAATATGAAAATTTAGGTATTAGATGTGTAAATATATGAGAATTGTGTGGTATGCACCTAAATTCTCTTTAATTTTTATATATATTTTTATATTTTTATAGCTTTCTGTTAAGGTTCAGACTTGAAAGTAAAATGT